GAAATGCTGAAAGTATTACTTGCCAAATACTCTTTCAAAACCCGTTGGACATTACCTTTTCTCAGCGAAAACAATTTAACGTCTTGGTAATTAAGCCAAGATTGAAAGAGACTGGTTGTAAACTTGGAGGCGATATCAAAAAAAGGTTTAGTTGAAGAAATAGCACTTTCAAGATAAGTCGAACCAGAATGATATTAAGTAAAATACACCATGAGTAAATCTAAAAAGTTGGAAATTGTGGGAGATAAAGTTATCAAAGTTTAGATCAATCGAACGGACAACGCCATACTTCGTATCAAAAGTCTTGAAGGGCGTTTTGTTTTGTTTGAATCAAATTTATAAAATATTAAACAACCCCGGCAACATTTCAAAGTTATATCACCTACCTGTACAGGCAAACAACATCAGGAAAAACACACTGCTAACCAGATGCTGCACTCTTCGTCCCTTCACCGTCTGTTTCATTATCGTCTTTGGTAAACCACGTACAAAGAAAAAACTAATTTTTCAGATCACAGGTGGTATGTGATGCAGATTCCAAACGAAAATTGCAAATGAGTGAGGCAAGTCTGAGTCGTCAGATTTTTACCTTTATAGATGTAAATCAATTAACACATATGATATTATTGATTTTGTTAAACATGTTATGTGTGATAAAGCAGTTTTAATTTATAAGCATAAAATATTTACCATAAAGCCATAGGCATTCCAAAGCAAAGCAAAGATACACACCCTGCAGGTTTATACTAATTGAAATGGCACCAGACTGTAACATTTCCATTCCATCAATATCGACAACTCAGTAGCCTTTCTGATACTATATTAATGAATTGTTTATTTGTTATGTAATTTCCGTTGTTTTGCTTATTGCTTAGCGATCTTTTAACTTGTTTTTGCGATCCCACATCAAATAGCGATAATGTTATTTAACCAGAGTGCTTCTCTCATTTCTGGATTTCTAGGAAGTTGACCCATAACGGCACAGTTTAAACAAGCCAGTACCTTTGACGGGACAGATGAGCGGTGACTGGATAGTGTTCTATCTCTTAATCATTAAATGTACAGTTGATCAGTGTCTGAACAGTTAACTCGAGTCTGACCAATTGACCATTGCTGTGAAGTTGACCCATGTCTGACTGTTTGACCCGTGTCTGGACAGTTGACCCATATCTTATCAGTTGGCCATTGATTGTACAGTTGAGCCATGTCTAGACAGTTGATTGGCGTGTGGAATATTGACCATGTCGTCTCAGTTGACCATTTGTCGATGTCTGGACAGTTTACTAGAGTCTTGACAGTTGACCATGTCTGGACATTGGACAATTGAATGTATAGTTGACTCATGTCTGATCGGTCGAACATTGGCTGTGCATTGACCCGTGTCTGGACATTTGATTAGATGAACCTATTACCCATGACAGAAGAGTCGACCTGAGCTGTTGACTGGTCAGTATTTTCTTCTTTTTGACAGTTGAACTTTACCACAATCCAACATTCCAATGTTAAGCCTGACACGCTAGTATGGTCCATTTTGCACACTGTTTGAGAACTTCAGTAAACTTGCGAAATATGGGTTTACTCCGTCCACATTTTTAGGTAGACGTCTACCACTGTCCACCGTGTCCTTTTTTTAAGGTTGACGATTATCACTGTTTGTCCACCGTGTCCTCTTTTAGATTGACGTTTCTGACTGTTTGTCCACCGTGTCCTCTTTTAGGTTGACGTGTATCACTGTTTGTCCACCGTGTCCTCTTTTAGGTTGACGTCTATCACTGTTTGTCCACCGTGTCCCCTTTTCAGGTTGACGTGTTTCACTGTTTGTTCACCGTTTCCTCTTTTAGGTTGACGTGTATCACTGTTTGTCCACCGTGTCCTCTTTTAGGTTCATGTTTATCACTGTTTGTCCACCGTGTCCTTTTTTAGGTTGACGTCTATCACTGTTTGTCCACCGTGTCCTTTTTTAGGTTGACGTGTATCACTGTTTGTCCACCGTGTCCTTTTTTAGGTTGACGTCTATCACTGTTTGTCCACCGTATCCTCTTTTAGGTTGACGTTTCTGACTGTTTGTCCACCGTGTCCTCTTTTAGGTTGACGTGTATCACTGTTTGTCCACCGTATCCTCTTTTAGGTTGACGTTTCTGACTGTTTGTCCACCGTGTCCTCTTTTAGGTTGACGTGTATCACTGTTTGTCCACCGTGTCCTCTTTTAGGTTGACGTTTCTGACTGTTTGTCCACCGTGTCCTCTTTTAGGTTGACGTGTATCACTGTTTGTCCACCGTGTCCTTTTTTAGGTTGACGTGTATCACTGTTTGTCCACCGTATCCTCTTTTTGGTTGACGTATATCACTGTTTGTCCACCGTGTCCTCTTTTAGGTTGACGTGTATCACTGTTTGTCCACCGTGTCCTTTTTTTAGGTTGACGTGTATCACTGTTTGTCCACCGTGTCCTCTTTTAGGTTGGTGTGTATCACTGTTTGTCCACCGTATCCTCTTTTAGGTTGACGTTTCTGACTGTTTGTCCACCGTGTCCTCTTTTAGGTTGACGTGTATCACTGTTTGTCCACCGTGTCCTCTTTTAGGTTGACGTGTATCACTGTTTGTCCACCGTATCCTCTTTTAGGTTGACGTTTCTGACTGTTTGTCCACCATATCCTCTTTTAGGTTGACGTTTCTGACTGTTTGTCCACCGTGTCCTTTTTAAGTTTGACGTATATCACTGTTTGACCAACGTGTCCTCTTTAAGGCTGGTATGTATCACTGTTTGTCCACCGTGTCCTCTTTTAGGTTGACGTGTATCACTGTTTGTCCACCGTGTCCTCTTTTAGGTTGACGTTTCTGACTGTTTGTCCACCGTATCCTCTTTTAGGTTGACGTTTCTGACTGTTTGTCCACCATATCCTCTTTTAGGTTGACGTTTCTGACTGTTTGTCCACCGTGTCCTTTTTAAGTTTGACGTGTATCACTGTTTGACCAACGTGTCCTCTTTTAGGTTGGTGTGTATCACTGTTTGTCCACCGTGTCCTCTTTTAGGTTCACGTTTCTGACTGTTTGTCCACCGTGTCCTCTTTTAGGTTGACGTTTCTGACTGTGTCCACCGTGTCCTCTTATCAGGTTGACGTGTATCACTGTTTGTCCACCGTGTCTTCTTTTAGGTTGACGTTTCTGACTGTTTGTCCACCGTGTCCTCTATTTATGTTGACATTAATTATTGTTTGCTCGCGCGTTACCCATTTCAGAATGACGTATATTAATTCTTCAACCTGTATCCATTTTCAGGATTGTACATTGTACCTATTTTTAAGATGATATATCAATTGCTAACCCCGTACCTATTTTAGGATGATATATCAATTGTTCACCTTGTACCTATTTTTAGGATGATGTATCAATCGTGCACCTTGTACCTATTTTAGGATGATGTATCAATTGTGCACCTTGTACCTATTTTTAAGGTGGTATATTAATTGTTCACCCTGTAGGTATTTTTAGGATGATATATCAATTGTGCACCTTGTACCTATTTTCAGGATGATATATCAATTGTGCACCTTGTACCTATTTTTAGGATGATATATCAATTGTGCACCTTGTACCTATTTTTAGGATGATATATCAATTGTGCACCTTGTACCTATTTTTAGGATGATATATCAATTGTGCACCTTGTACCTATTTTTAGGATGATATATTAATTGTGCACCTTGAGGATGATATATCAATTTTGATATATATTGTGGATTTTTGATGATATATCAATTGTGCACCTTGTACCTATTTTTAGGATGATATATTAATTGTGCACCTTGTACCTATTTTTAGGATGATATATCAATTGTGCACCTTGTACCTATTTTTAGGATGATATATTAATTGTGCACCTTGTACCTATTTTTAGGATGATATATCAATTGTGCACCTTGTACCTATTTTTAGGATGATATATTAATTGTGCACCTTGTACCTATTTTCAGGATGATATATCAATTGTGCACCTTGTACCTATTTTTAGGATGATATATTAATTGTGCACCTTGTACCTATTTTCAGGATGATATATCAATTGTGCACCTTGTACCTATTTTCAGGATGATATATCAATTGTGCACCTTGTACCTATTTTAGGATGATATATCAAGGACCAGGATTATCAATTGTGCACAATTGTGCACCTTGTACCTATTTTTGATATATCAATTGTGCCTGATATATCAATTGTAGATATATTAATTGTATTTTTAGGATGAAGTATATTATATTTTTGTCACCATTGTCACGGTTTTGGTTGAGTTTATAATTATTTGTCAGATGACAGTTTCACGGATGTCTCATTTAAACAAACAAAAAATACTTTTGGAATTAAACATAATTCTATTACGTATATTGACGGCAAGAGATGAAGCATTCAGTTTCATCAAACATACACATATGATTAGAAACGGATTTAATTTTGTTTCTTGAAAAATGTGAAAAAAAAAAATTAAATAAAAATTAAAAGCATAGATAGATGTTCTATTTCATCGTACGATATAAAGATAGACTTATTTGATGCTCGTTGGTTTGCCTGGTGGTGTGTTTCCCTTTATTCTCATTTGAGAGCCTGACATTACTAACATGGGTTGACCATGATTTACATAGCGAGTATGACCGATGATGACGCCTTTTTTTCCAAAAATCTTTACATGTACTTTAGTCAGGAATCTCTGTGTAAATCTTTCCTTTGTTTATATTTAGCCCTAGAGTTTAAATTAAGATTCTGTTAACAATCTCTGACCACCTCTTCATACAAATTTAGAATTAAACAGTAGAGCTAAATTAGTCACAATATTTCTTGAATCGCAGTCAAATATAATTAGAGATATACGTTTAAAATGAGGTTATGATAAATTTCATGATGACGTTTTGCATTTCTGTTGTGCCTATGAGAAACAAAGAAGAATTGTCGAGAGGTAAATTACATCAAAGCAGACAATAAACATGAATATCTGTATTTATTTCATTCTTAAACTGTGTACATTGATGGATTCGCAATAAAATCTAGGAAGTGTGAAATTCTAGTGTACACGCTCGGCGATGATACTGGACAACCGACCGCGCCCCATGACGTCACTCCCACCAGCACTCCCTTACATGTCAGTGGGCCACCGCTATCTCCCTAATATCAAAATTTAAAAAAGCAAAAAAATGACATCGCTGGGTTTCAACTTAAATAACATATAAATATAAAATATGAATGAAAATATCTGTGCTCTGTGTTAGATCGTTTAATTTTAAGAAACTCAATGGGTAGAAAGCATTTTCGTTTCAAAATTTCCTTGTTAACGTAAATCAATATAGTCGAGATTAGCTGTTGTTAAATCTTAACAGTTCCAAAAATAAATATCATTTTATTTCAAATAGTTGATAAGATGGCCTCCGACACGACTAAGTCGCCATGCATTAGGCACCGTCTTTAAAAGGCCAATCTCCCTGGCTTACAAAGTCAACAACCCCGTCAACAGTTAGGGCCCTTGAGGCTTTGTAATAGCTGGTGGCTTTATTACTAAACACAATACCGGAGACTCGCCACATGTAATCCAGAGCAATGGTGTAACCTGTTTTGCCCAAGGACAACACAGATAGTAATTTTTTGTTTTTTCCATGGAGTCCAGAGCATCATTATCAAAATTTTAGGAGTCCAATTACAAAGAGATATAGTGAGTCCTCAAAATTTGAGCACATCCTACAGAAAAGTCCAAAAAATTACAGAAAAAATCAATTTTTCAGCTTCCTGAAATAACAACCGCCGCCGGTCGGGATCTTGGAGCCACACATCTTGGATCTGAACCTAAGCTTGCATGGTCTTACTATCTACCATCTAAGCTATAGCAGCCCCAAATTTGATCAGCTGTATAATGTAGAATAACTTACATTGCATGACCCAGTTTCTTGGTTAAAAACACACACATGCCCTTCATTAATACTGCTTGGTCCCCATTCATTACCACATTCGGTGTTACTAAGCACGGTCGTGGTGGCTTCCTGAAGCACATCAGGTAAAGCTGCAAAAACAGAGAAACCAAACTCAAAACAGGTCATTATATACGGACACTGTCATCATTGGGATCTGATAATTTGGTTTTCATTTACTTTATGTCAATTATATCTTATATTTATTCATATTTTAACACATACAATGTAGTAAATGAAATGTTCTGTCCTTTTCCTGTGTGATCACCCCTTTATTGTCTACAAACGTTTGTCTTATGAGGCGACAGAAGAAAGAAACCACTTGGGGACTTAGAAATCGTAACTTGTTGCTGTTCTTATTGTACTGTTGGGCATTGCATTAACAATAATACACATCCATCGGTATATCTCAAGCTCTACCTACACAATTTTAGTAAACGAATGCATGATCATTGAATGTGCAGCTTTCCAAAAATTGGAGAAGGTAAAAATGTCTTTTGCAGATTAAAATGCATATCCTAATTCTTGTCACGTTCACGCGAAGAGTAACGGAGCTAGAATTTGAGAATTTAGAATATGCATTTCAATCAGATTGTGTTTACGGCCATTATGGATCCTACTCAATATATAATGACACTTGGTCAGAAACTATATTGAGAACATTTCTGGCAAGGATCAAAATGGGGCTTTGTTATGCACTTTGCACGAAACAAGAAAGATGCAGGCAATGCTTGGTTTCAGATAACATAAGAAGGTAAACGATAAAAATGTGAAAGTTTGTATTATCACCACGTACATTTAAGCACCTGGTACTCTATCGGATTTAAGTGAAAACGACAGGAGTGCGATCTAATGACCTTTCTGTACTAATTATGTTACTGCCGTGAAATGGGTGTTGAGGGAAGTTGCGGTGCATATAGCACTGCCCATGTCCCTCCCGTCCTGATTCAATGTAAGCACCTGGCAACTTCATTCTTTGACAGGTATTACATAGATGTTTCAGACCCCCAAGGTGAAGGCCAAGATCACCCTTGCTATATATAGAAAATCATATCATATTTAATCACCGAAATTAATTTCTCTAGGAAGCAGAGGCATTTATATCAGGCATGTTCTATTTGCATTCTAAAATGAAACGGCAGTGATTAATTGTTATGTACATACAATCAGTGACTGTTTCCTATGATCTTAATGTTATTTACTTCTCAGTCAAATACTGTACAATATATTGTAAATGTGAATTTGAATGGTCCTATTTTTCGCTACTTTGAGAATGAAATAGATTCACAAAAAGGAGATAATGTGATAATGAAATATACAAAGAAAATTGAAATTCTTGCCATATCCTCCGTAAACATATAATTTTCATTTCAGTAAAATAGTTAATCGATAAAATTGAACTATCGAACGTTTTATAACAAAATATAATTGACTTGTTAAATATACTGACGTGCTCCTCCAGAAGTTCGGCCCCATCCGGTAATGGTGCACTCATCCCCAGCGAAGTCACCACTTGATTCTGTCGGCATTTCCACGGCTTTAGCCCCATCATCTACAGTGATATCTTCGTCAAATTCCAGTACAGCTATGTCATTGGGAAATGTTCCCGCCCCGCTTCCATAGTCCGGATGCTAGAAATAGGTAAGTTAACTGTTGTGGATGATACATCTCGGCTTGGAGTGACACGGAAATTAGCATTTGATGGTTTACTAGATACAAGGTTTTATGGGGTACTCTCACTTAATTTTGCTTATGAATAATGGAGCATAAAAAATAAATCCATCATTAAGATTTACTAAAAATATCGAAAGGTAAGTTTTGTCTTTGAATTACGTTAGGTTTGGGGTATGAATAATTGGTTTTCAAAGGAAAGGGAGAAATTGGACCCTGCATCGAGCATAGTCTTGGACCCTTGCAGCGAGCAGTCTATGCTGTACTTTAAACAGAAGGTATAAACATTTTATATAGAGCCGATTTCATAAGTCAAATGCTACAAAAATGCTTCATTTTCATTTAACTATAGTTGATGTTATTATATCATGTACGAACTCGAAATGTTGCCGCTTCGAGTGTCAACGCAATGTCAGAATGCCTTTTAATTAATTTTTAAGTTCAAACTTTGTATGTGTTTGGAAAGCTTTACTTGTGTTCCTTTTGTATAGTCTTCCAAATCGAGGCGATAGACACTGCTGGTTGACTATTAGTCATTCAGGATTGTTGTAACCTGCATGTCACGTTATAATTTATAGAAATGTTTGTGGCGTTGTTCTAAAGTGATCAGATATGTGAATATTGCGGTATCTACTGACTTAAAAGGCTAGCGGACCATCACGTCTAGATTTTGATATTTCTTCTAATCACGTGATTTTTCTCAGTCCTTCTCAGGCTTTCCAAATTTTAATCCCTTAGCATCACTTACCTGTCCTACAAGATCGATGAAAAAATTGTTTTATTGACAGTAAACTAATTATCAAGAGACGACCAGGTTAACACTACATTGCAGATTTCCTCAATGAAGCAAAAGGCCCTTTCTCTTCTGGAACACCAGGGCCCGAATTGATGAAACCATTATCATGCTCAAGCATGGATTTTGTGCTCAAGCAAACTTTTTCATAATTCGCCTAAATCATATAAAATAATACAAGTGTCAAATATAAACATTGATTATAACTTTGACTTGAAGTCCCTCCAAATTGTGTTTTTTTTTTAAATCAGCCTTATTTATTCATTTTTAACTTAAACAAGACATAAGGATTGAGCACAAAATTCATGCTTGAGCATGAGAACGGTTTCATGAATACGGGCCCTGGTCTTATTCTCTCTGTCATTGTCGAGAAGTTTCCATATCAATCTTTTGTTCATATTTCCCCTAGTTTCATGGCATTTGAGTTTGGATTATGATTATGTTGCCATGCTGGTATTTTCTTGATGTTTTTGTTATGTCACACTGTGTGTTGAAAGAGTGGACTAACTGTGGGCACTTATTTCTCTGAACTATGATGCTTACAGAATATTAACAATAATTTAGGTCTTCTTCTGGCGAATATTTTACTTAGTTGTAAAACATTTCATATTCGTCATCATATGAATGCATCACAGAATGCGGAAGCCAATAGGTTTGACATTACACTATGCGTATACAAGGTCAATATTTGATTTATGCCACAAACACGGAACAACACTTCAGAAATTATTTTGCTTTTAAATGAACTGGTTTCAACCAATCGCGTTCTCTGAGACAGTAAATAAACACAAAGACGATAACGAAGTCATGACAGGTCACTGGACTTACCACGGTGGCCTTGCTCACTGTGAACGTTTTGCCGCCCGTCAGATGTTCATCAGATCCTACTCGTATTACAAGGGTTCTGTAGAGATAAATTGTTCATCGGTTAATTACATAACCGAAATATATCATACAAAATCGATAAGAAAAAATAAAAGAGGAAAATTATACATTTAAATGTCCTGTAACATCAAGATGTTTATGAAGCGAGGTGCAAAATACAGCATACAAAGAGATCTTTCTATTTTGTATTGTTTTATATTTTGCCCATGTCTCATCAGATTCCATTCAATTGTCATGTCGATTTTTTTCTACATTGTTAATTTACACCAAGACCCGTGTACTGTCGTAAAGGTAAACTTCTGTTTCATCAACATCACCTGGCAAGTAAATTTTCATCATTTTAATTAACTGATATCCTGCATGTCCATGAAATTCAAACACGTGTAACTTCATATCGTTCAATGAAACATTTATCAATGAGATCATTATGACAAAAATTAAACTTCCTCAAACTTTTCACCAACTTTGTATCATGAAACCCGATGTTGACAGGTTATCTGTTAGTAGGGAACAAGCCCCAGAGTATCGTATCAAATGCGACAGATATGCACCACAGGCTAAGTAAATGGAGAAGTTGTTATTAAAATGTAAAATTTCACACAAGGAAAATCGAAATTATTACGCTTATCATACAGCTTTGTCGAAACTGTCCCTGTTGGTTTCTTTGTAGGAAGGATAAGAATATTTTAAAGATAAATACAGTTCTAAAGAATTAGAATTAAAGAATAATAATTATATTGAAACTCATTACTTTTCCTAGTGTCCAATTTCTGAATAAGACGATAGTAAATATATTTACTTACCCACCCGATACACAGTGTCCTGCGGTCACTGCTTTACGATCACCTATGACCACAGCCCCACAGTTATGTGAACCAGAATCCTGTAAGGAGGCCTGCCACGGGTAGTCGGCTATGGATGCGTTCTTTCCATTTACAATCCAAAACCTGTTATACGCCTAAAAAATCATCTACACCATAAATAAACTATTCCTTTGATGTTTCTCAGAACAGTTACGATACTGAACAATTCCTAGAATGTGTCTCAGAACAGTTACGATACTGAACAATTCCTAGAATGTGTCTCAGAACAGTTACGTTACTAAGCAATTCCTAGAATGTGTCTCAGAACAGTTACGTTACTAAGCAATTCCTAGAATGTGTCTCAGATCAATGACAATACTGAACAATGCCTAAAATGTGTCTCAGATCAATTACGTTACTAAGCAATTCCTAGAATGTGTCTCGGAACAGTTACGATACTGAACAATTCCTAGAATGTGTCTCAGATCAATTACGTTACTAAGCAATTACTAGAATGTGTCTCGGAACAGTTATGTTATTAAGCAATTTCTAGAATGTGTCTCAGAACAGTTACGTTACTAAGCAATTCCTAGAATGTGTCTCAGAACAGTTACGTTACTAAGCAATTCCTAGAATGTGTCTCAGAACAGTTACGTTACTAAGCAATTCCTAGAATGTGTCTCGGAACAGTTACGATACTGAACAATTCCTAGAATGTGTCTCAGATCAATTACGTTACTAAGCAATTACTAGAATGTGTCTCGGAACAGTTATGTTATTAAGCAATTTCTAGAATGTGTCTCAGAACAGTTACGTTACTAAGCAATTCCTAGAATGTGTCTCAGAACAGTTACGTTACTAAGCAATTCCTAGAATGTGTCTCAGAACAGTTACGTTACTAAGCAATTCCTAGAATGTGTCTCAGAACAGTTACGTTACTAAGCAATTCCTAGAATGTGTCTCAGAACATTTACGTTACTAATTCATGGAGTTTCGTTTTCATAACATGTTTAAGCAGTATATTTTTAAACGACTTAAATCAATAGATATGACGTGGGGCATGCTTGAATAAAGGGCGTTGAAGTTTGCTCAAAAACTTGCCTTACATTCACTGTCAAAACGGTCAAATGTCTTAAGCAACCGACTTATACTTCTGGTTTTTATTTATATTTGGATGTGCAGAACTTGATATAGAAATCGATTGTTATCCCATAAAACGATATGTTCGATTAGTATAACTATACTGAGTGAGCTTGGGTTTCCCTAAGTGTTTATCGTATTGCAGCCAAGCATAAATGTAAATATTTATACCAAACATGTTTCACTGTTGGATTTGTACTTCAGTTTATGCCTTTTTATAGCAAACTGAACAATCAAGATTATTTTTCCAGGAAGCATTTACCCATACAACACTTTTAACAACTAGAAGACACTACACTGAGAATAGAAAATATTTCGATTCTTCCCAAAAGTGTGTTTTTTTAAGAATTTCCATGTTTATAGTTCTGTGTAACATCGCAGTGTGATTGTATTGATTTCCTTGGTAAGCACATCAAGACTGAACTACAAACCATATTACAATCTCTTCCAAACTACAGGTACAACTAATTAATCATGATAGACACTACAGTACAATGTAGTCATCTGCAAGTCGTCTGTCATTTCAAGTAAACCAAAAGGATGCTTGTGCCGAGACAATATGGTTATCGTCGGTACCAAAAAGAACAATATTTACCTGGATTTGTGCTTGACTTTGCAAACTAGCGAATACTCGCGCAGGCAATCTAGTGGAACCTGTCAATACAAAAATTGGTTGATCGATTGATTGATTGATTGATTGATTGATTGATTGATACTGCAATCAATAAAAAAGCACACATCGCCTTATCTCATTTAACTAAGGATAATAATGTCATTCATTTTAGATAGGGAATAGGGAGAATTATAATGTTCAAAGACTCGAAATAATATTTTCAAAATGCCAAAATGCCTCCCATATTATGGGATGTATACATTCTGTGTGTGTCTATTTGATATCTTATAATCTTTGTTTTTTTAAGTTCAGTAAATTGTAAAATGTAATTAATCCCAAGATGAAACAATGTATATGTTTTTGTTGCATTAGAAATACTCTAAAATTAGGAAAGTCGTTTTTATAGAATTAAAGAGAAAAAACTTATTGAAATTATTCATTTCTTTAAGCATACACTCAAGTGAATCTTTGAAATTTTTTACCTCCTAATATTCTTTATAGGGAATAAAAAAACTATCTTAATACAAGCGACACCCACAGATACATATCTTAAAATATCAAAAAGGGAAGTCTTTTTCAACATTCCGTCATTGGCGTTTACGATATGTGGTACTCATAAACAGAAATTATAGACCTTTGATATTCACGGGCATCAGGTAGTACACAGGTAAACGAGTATTATAAACATCAATACAAATTTATTCAAAAGTGTATTGAAGGGAGATTGATCAAACAAAAATATTAAATCACTTCTTACTTACATGAGAAATATTGAAGGGGATATAGTTCTGATTTTTTTTTTTAAATTCGTGTCTAAATTTTCGCCTCAAAAAACAAAATATGAAATAAAATTATACATCTTATAAAATGAGATTAAGATTTTAACTATTAATTCCCAAACTTAACTTTATTCGCGGACCAAAGCTGTACTTGGATCAACTGAAGAACGTTTCTGGTATTCGGACCATCCGAGAGTAACAAGAATTTGCATTATATAGCTACCACTACACCATTGTGATGAGTTTTACTAAATGATTCAACTGTCGCCTTTTTTTTTTAACAGCCATCTTTTATTATGTATGGCAATGTTTAAAGGCCATGGAAAGTCCATTGGGATTATTTCAAAAAAGCATGGCATTCATGTATTCTTACTGTGTTTTGATATGAACAATATAAATTGATTGTAAATTCACCTGTATATACCAGAAATGTATTTTAAATAAAAAGTTCTTATTAAGTTTTGTGTTATAAACATTTAAACTGATAAGGGATTTAATATGATTTTATTTGTTCCATTGGAGGCTGATCTTTATATTTGTACTTACCTGCGATTGTCACCAAGCATAACACTCCAAGGATATTCATTGTTGTGGATAGTTTACTGGAATAATGTCCCCAGCCTACTCACCTGGCCTTTTATATTGTCAAACACCTGAGTGTTTCTCACCTGCTTATCAGTCAACTATTGAGACAAGATCTCTAAAAGGCGAGTTGTAAGTAGATCAAGTCATACCTTCTTCAAATTAGGAAACGTATTATCTCAAAACTATGCAGTTTATTTTTCAATATGATCTTATTTCAAACCTTACAATCATATTTTCTGTTAATGTAAACAAATAATTTCAACAATTAAGAAAAGCATTAGTTGTAAATTAACGTCATGGATAACGACCCAAAACAGCGTTAATTTTTTCCCATTATGTCACAAATATAAACATACCATGTTTGGAGTTACCCAGCTCCCTATTCCTTACAGGAGAGATATAAACATACCAGGTACAAACACTGTATGTTTGGAGTTACCCAGCTCCCTATTCCTTACAGGAGAGATATAAACATACCATGTTTGGAGTTACCCAGCTCCCTATTCCTTACAGGAGAGATATAAACATACCAGGTACAAACACTGTATGTTTGGAGTTACCCAGCTCTCTCTTCCTTACAGGAGAGATATAAGCATACCAGGTACAAACACTGTATGTTTGGAGTTACCCTGCTTTCTATTCCTTACAAGGGTCATATAAACATACCAGGTACAAACACTGCATACTTATGTATATACTATGAGTGAACGACGTGATATTGGCTGATGTCAAAGAAGTACCTCTTGCGTACAGATACTAAAGTACTAGTCAACACGTAGAATCCGTCCTAGTGGATTGTCTCTTTAAAACATTTCTTAAGAGAGATCGTCTCAATCTTTAAACTATTTCTTAAGAGAGATCGTCTCAATCTTTAAACTATTTCTTAAGAGAGATCGTCCCAATCTTTAAACTATTTCTTAAGAGAAGTCGTCTCAATCTCTAAAATATTTCTTAAGAGAAGTCGTCCCAATCTTTAAAATATTTCTTAAGAGAAGTCGTCTCAATCTCTAAAATATTTCTTAAGAGAAGTCGTCTCAATCTCTAAAATATTTCTTAAGAGAAGTCGTCTCAATCTCTAAAATATTTCTTAAGAGAGATCGTCCCAATCTTTAAAATATTTCTTAAGAGAAGTCGTCTCAATCTCTAAAACATTTCTTAAGAGAGATCGTCCCAATCTTTAAACTATTTCTTAAGAGAAGTCGTCTCAATCTCTAAAATATTTCTTAAGAGAGATAAAAATAATAAGGAAACAACAATGATCAATGATTTATTAGATTCGCTGGTAAATACACTGTCGAGAAAACGACAAACGCTATTCTAAAAAGTAAATATAGTATATTTTCGCGGTATTGAATATTCCTACAAAATATGATAAAATGTAACAAGATGCATGTTATTGAGTATATGGTGAGAATACTAAATCCAACAGAAATGATTTTCTGCTGCTTACCTTGAGCAACTTATAAACACAGTAATTGTCTGTCCAACGCTCGAATTTGCCCGATCTTCACGAAAATGGACGTGAAAATAAATTACATCCGAAAAATAGGTAATATACAGCATGCAATGCATAGCGAGCTTTTTGTTCACTTATCTCTGTCACACGATATGGCACTCATTCAGTGACAAAGTTGATCTAGACTGAACTGTCAAGGTATATCTGGGAAAAATAAAAACCGAACTGTCCATCGTCGCATTGCCAAGGTTGTTATACGAGACTTGAAGAACAAACGGAGACAAAACAAAACAATTCCCTGGTATTTTTTTTAATTAAGCTAAATACATAGATTTTAGATGTGTAGTGATATTGAACGGAAACCTTTGCAGCATTTGATTTAAATCTATAACATTATATAAGATTTTGCAGCAGTCGATTTTTGTTAGCAGATGCCTAATTTTGACAAGTCGTTATCTATTTTTACACTATATACATGTTTAACAATTACGATATTTTGAACTTTTAAGTCCAGTTACTCGTCAAGATTATTTCAAGAGTGTTTCTGGTAACCAAATTATGAATTTTGTTAAATATATTTAGTTACAAACGAGGCTTCAAATTCCGACATTAACCGAAGTCTGAAGCGACGTCTTGATGGTAAATGGAACGTTCTTTCGAGAGATCATGATCAAACAGGTTTCGTTTAGTTTGTCGAGGCTGTACCGAATATATAATATCAAGAAATTTTACCTCGAGCTTTAACATTTTTGGTAAAATTTATCTTAGATACTGATGAAAGCAATCATCTAGTATTGCCACCTTATTTCAAACACAAATTAACATCAAATATTGTGAAAGACATACGAGTCCTCTTGTGTACATTATGTGAGTGAATTAAATAACAAATTTATCTATTTGGTTCAGTTTCTTGTTATGAAACATTAATTCAGATAAATTTTCAGTATACCAGTATTTCAGAGCTTTTGTTCCAAATTGATTCACGCCCACTTTATTCGTGATTTTGTGAGATATACTGAATACTGAAATAAATCTCACTCTTTTTAAAGTTAAGTCAAACCTGTAATGCATACTATACAGATACCCATCTACCAACCCGGCTAAAGTTCTATTGCCTACTTGTTTAAATTTGTGGGCCCAATATTTCGCGGTTTTCCAAGGTTCGACTAGATCACGGGCATTTCATTTTGCACATGTCTGTGAACTGGTGCCCATACATACTGGCATAACATATATTTCTTAAAAGTTTTCATTCACTGTAGAAATGTGAAATGGGTATTTAAATTGACCATGAAAATAGTGAAATAAAAACCCGCCAAAATTACCAACAATATAGTAGATCTGACCAAATCGTAATGAACACATTGAATTGGTTTGAAGGATAAAACTTGAATACTCAGATTTATTGTCTTTGCTATCGAATAACGTCAAAGCCCTTTCTACCTCGGCATACGTTAAAATCCAGTGATTAATCGGACATTGGAACACTACAAATGACAAAATGTAACCATGCTTATTTTGTGTTATATACCTGCAAAATTAAAGGAAATAGTTAACCATATTCCGTTATTTTTGCAGACTTTCTTAAAATTAAGATTTAATAAGATTCATACTTATTACGCCAAAGTAAAAACAGCACAATATGATGACGTCAACTAGATCTATCCTACATAAGTAATGCCTGAGCAGTTTCCATGTACACTTTTCAGGAACAAATCCTTATTCTAAGTATCCCAATTAACTACCTCGTCACTTCACCCGAACTGTGAGTGCTGGTTTCAGCATTTGCATCAAAGACTTGTTTTCCGATCTCATAATATAACGGCATATTTTGAGACAGTGGTGGGCCTAAATTCAATGAATTCGTTGTTGTTGGCTTGTGCACTTGGAAATCGAACTTCTGCTTTCTTATGCCGGCGTTGAACCCCTGATAAGAATTAGGTGCCATCTGGCTTTCCATAAGTAAACCACATGTACAAGGTTGACAATAATCTGTTCGCGATCTCCTGCTTGCTATATTTGGCTGTTTGTTGTTGTTAAATGATGGCGAATTCCATCGAGATGCGAATAAATGATTTCCTGTAAAAATGTTATTTGGAGTAATTTTTTGATTTTGTATTGTCTGTGAGTCTGAATTAATCGGATGAAAAAACTCTCTACGTCTTCCAGGCACCATATCCTTGTCAGGATTTTGCTGGTGAATTCCATTCTGCTTCGGTAAAGGATGAAGAAGATAATCAGGTACTGTGTATTTGGAAATCTGGGAAGTTCCAAACTCGTGGTTGACTCTCCAATTGGATGACAGATCCTGCAATCGGCTTTCTTGTGGAGATAAGTATGAATTCCCATCACGTTTGCGTCTGTTTACTTCTAACCCTGTCACCAGAATTCCCATCAACACTAGCGAATTTACTACAATCCAACAGATACTTCCGGTAGACATGCCGAGTCAATGACTACAAGAACATTGAAATCTCGTTTAATTGATACACTTTTTAGACATATTCAAATATACAGAATGTATCTATATGATCTGACACACCGAATACTGCTAAATTATTAATATTTGTGTTAGTTTCATTTTCGATTATTTCGTTGGTAAGATTAGTCTACAAATTCATTTATCCGCAAATGGATGAAAAAAAAAACAAATAAAAAATACAAAAACAAAACCAAAACCAAAAACAAAACAAACAAACCAAAAAAATGCAAGAAAACACCAACATATCAATATAATTATAATCCAAACTCAAATTCAACAAAACTGGGGCAAAATATGAACCAAAGAAAGAATTACACGGAGACTCCCGACAAAGTACAAGGTGAATAAGACCAGGTGTTTCGGAAGAGTAAGCGGCATCTGCCATGTAAACACTGGTCATTCCAACTAAGTAATGTCACGTCCTCAAATGTGAACAACAGAACCAACAAACTAAGTAACGAGTATCAAACATTTGACATTAATTTCCAAATGGTTACGATAGATTCATAGGTTCTATTTATCAACGAATTGAAATGGTATCTTAAAAAAACTCACCAAAATATAAATATATTCAGGCAAAGATTGAAAAACAAAACTGTTGAAGATTTGATTGTCTGATTTACAATCAATGTTGCGGGATAAATAGAATACTTGGTCAGTGTCTAAAAATATAAGCTCGAGGCTCGTCACTTTTGTCTTTCTGTTCCGAGCCAAAATGCAGCTTACATCATAAGACAAGTTCTCATCACTGCTAAAATTATATGTGGCAAGTGTATTCCCATAATGTCAGCACCAGCTGCAGGATAAGATGTTTTACACTGTTGTAACACACAGTAGACACCAATGAAATATTTACCAAACCTGAGCCCATTGCTATACATAAAGTTCATAACTAAATTTCATCAGGATTTAATCAATTACATACCTTGTTGGTAGGCAAAATAACTCCAATCCGTGTGTCTATCAAATTCGTGGTTTTACACATCCAAACCTTCTGGCATTAACTGGACACACTGGTCATCTGCCGCCGGATATAAATAACATTTTAAGGAGTTAAGTTTCTGTAGTTGTTAAGCAGGGAGATAAAAAAAGATCAGATACTGTTTATTTTTTAGCCACTGCTCATATCGTGACTTACAACGATGAATATTTTGATTAATTGCGTCTGTCGGAAAAAACGCTTGTCTTTTCCAACAGCGTACCGCTGTGTTATCAGATGGTTCTCTCAGGCTACTCCGGTACATGTGCAAGTAACGGACATCAAAGGTACTGGCCGGAAAACTGGACAACACTTTTACCTTAAGATCGTCACTTGTATTTCAATAAACATCATTTTTACATCCATAAAATAAACGTTGTTATGATCAGAGGTCATTTTAACGACAACTTTATTACATGTCAATAGTCACGTGCGGAACAAAACTACCGGACACGCGAACGGTCAGTCTTTGTCCGAAGTCCGTGTAACACATGGCGTGATGGACAATGACACGTGTTCTGGTAAATGTATCCTGTAAATGTGAAAGCAAGCAATATTCTAGAAGTCTTTAATGTTTGACAAACAGATTGTACCTTTCATAACGTCCATCATGTTATGACTTCAAAAATATATGTTCGGTGTCACTTTTCTTTCTTAAGGGATGAGAGTGTCGGGAGTCGGTTATGGGGGCGTTGGAGGGTGGGGGAGGTTGTCAAAATACAGACACGATAGATACTGTTTTGTATATGTCTCTATGTACACATTTATTGCTTTAGTTGGCATTTTAAATTTGTCTTTCATTAATTTTTCTACAGCCAATAAGGTGTCCACTATTTTTTTTTCTCGAATTTAGATACGAACAAAGCTGCAACTTCTGTTATCGTAATTTAACGAAATAACCGTCATTTCTTGATCCTAGATTGACCGAAATGTAAATATTGTCAAATTTCGATGGAATTTTGGTATGTACTGTGCGAAAAAGAAAACTTCAATTATTGACACGATTTCGGAAAAAAAATCAAAGTGCATAAATATTTCAAAGATGGTTACAATACCACAAGTGCGCTGACATGACCCAATTTTTGACGCGGTTTTTCAGTGTCTCGAACTTGTCCCAAAATTTACTCTATTTGATTTTTTATTCAAAGTGAGTATTTTTGCAAAGTAGGTTGTAACAGTGGCGCCTTGTACCACGGAATTCGAACAGACAGTGTAAGTCCGTGCTTGTTTATCAAAAAAAAAACAATATTGATGCGAATTTTACAATACGGAGAATAAGGTTGTTTACGACACTCGAGTAAAATATCCTTTTGGTAAGGCAAGGCAAAACAAAAGATCAGAAATATTTGAATTGTATACTTGCGAATGAAGGGAGATAACTCTTTCAGTAGTATTTTCTCATCGAATGCGCCCGACTTTTCGATTTCAGCATCCGTTTGTTGACAAATGTCAGGAGAAGGTAATGTGATAGCCAACTGCAGGTTAAATATGCATGCGAAATTGAAGAAAGTTTGGTGACATGTGTGTGATCTGTAATGTAATATGGTACAGCAAAGCATTTTCCTATTTGAGAGAAATCAGGTGAAATGAGGACCGACATCAGTGAAGTACATTATGTTACGATCCAACCTGTCAGCATGTATTTAGAATTAATTACTTTTGATTAGTATTAACTGGTGACTACCTCCCTGAACAACATATGGAAGGCTTGTCGCATGCCACCTAGAGCAACTGAGGTAAATTTTCCTGGCCAAGGAAATAACCATATAACCGCACGTTGACGTTCCATTTCCCAGCAATCCCTTTATCAGCTGCATTGGCTACTTACAAACATACATTCCTAAGGAACACAAACCATACAAACTATCTCCATCAGGTGTCTTTGAACCACACCCCTTCGCTTTCTATTTCAGGTTGCAAAGGACAGCCCTTGTAAACACTCTACATGCCATTGGTGCATATTAGTAATGTGATTTTGACGGTTCAAACTACATGTATTCTATAATATATTCCATTGAACTGCTGTAGACTAATTTTTGAAAGATCTGTTTTAAAGCCTTATAATTATAAAACTTCAGCTGTGGATACATAACAATTATAATACATATGTAAAACCATGTTTGTGCAAAGTGGTCCAATTTGGGTCTTCTGTTTAGATCTTTTTGAGTTTTGAATAGTAAAAAGCATTTGTGTTTGATTTAATATTGACTCCATCTCTTTTATATCGTTCCAGGTGGATACTTGTGGAATAAACAAACCAGAAAGAAATGTTACTCCAACTGCAAAGTGTGACACCGAAACAAAAAATAAAGCAAATTTAACAAAAGCGTTCACATGGAGCTATACAAGGACAGAAACATTTGATGAAAATGAGTGCTATGTTTATAGTGTCATCTCATGGACCAAGACTTGCCTCGAATACTGGCTGGCAATTTTGTCGTTCTGGTTTGATTTGCCATCAAGGGAAAAACATAGCAGGGGAGACAACTCTACAAAAACAGTGTTATTGCTCACTTATCAAAAATCATGATTGTGATGAGCTGCTTCTGAAGAGAAGAATAAGGTTTACTAAGAGTAAAGATGGATTTGTAGAGCACTCTAGACTATTCACTTCCAGTGTACCAAACCTTTATCAGAACATTAACAAAACACGTGGATTTCTCTCCAGAAAGAACTGTCCTTCAGCTGTTTGTACTCCGGTACGACAGATGGGTATCTTGTCTGATCCAGAAAATAAGGGTAAAAAACAAGTTGGAATAAACTTTGACACAATTGGCAGTTGGAATAATCGAATTAATATGCCAATTCTGATGAAAGAAAGTATACAAACAGGTAATATTGATATAGGTGTTTTAATTTTATCAAAATGATTTTCTTGGCTACCTCAGATATTAAAGTAACAAATAAAATTAATTCCTTTTTTTTAATTGGTGCATATTTTTGGTCCACGTCATTTTTTTAAGAGGCCAAATTTATATTTTGTAGGGAAACTTATTCCTCAAATTCCTTTGGAAAAGATTGGAACAGCATCACTTCTGGGTCGTCGAAACAGGAATGAAGACAGATACACCATCAAGAAATTGTCTGCAGAATATTTGTATTTTGGGATATTTGATGGACATAACGGGGACTTTGCATCGGCGTTCCTAGAAAGTCATATGAGTGACAGCTTGTCGTTCTGGTTGTCGAGGGAACCAGATGAAAGTGTAGTTCTACGACAATCGTTTATCGATCTCAACAACATTCTTGCCAGACATTTGTCAACCTACTGCTTAGGTAACTAGATACCATATGATGCTTCAAAGTCATTAATTTTCATGGAGGATTTATTTTCAGTGATTTCGTGAATCCCCTCAATCCACAATTTCATATGTCCACATGCTGTTAAAATTAGTATAAGTGTATATACTGGGCTATTTTTATCCACAATATCAACTCTCCATAAATAAATTAGTACTTTTTTGAAAAACCAGTAAAATTGATCTCCACAAAGAAATAGATTTTACTTGGTACAATAGTTGTATTTGTCAAATTATTTGTCATTCTGATATCAATGTACAATATGAAAACAATCACGTGGAACAAATATGCAATAAATTTTTGCTTGATTTAAAATATGTTTTATGATTCTGTTGTCTTGCCATACATATTCATCAAAAAACCATAGCATCCTCACCCATCTGTTTTTGATCGGTCATCTGATTCTATAGAATATCGGAGACGAACCAATTTTTATAAATATTGAATTATGTAAATTTTGAACAGAAAACTGTACAATTGATCTGAATGTTGTAGATGATGAGCAGTTCAGTTCAGGAAGTACAGCTACAGTGTGTCTGTTACAACATAGCACAGAACTTACAATAGGTCATGTTGGAGACACACGAGCTCTTCTTTGTCGGGGAGGTAAAGCTATTGCCCTCACTCAAGATCATAACCCTGATAATATGGAAGAGAAAAGACGGATTGAGTCCTGTGGGGCAGCCATTACACCAAATAGTCTTGGGACACCGAAAGTGAATGGAAAGCTGAGTATGACACGGTGTATTGGTAATCTCCCCTTGAAGAAATATGGTGTCACAGAACACCCAGAAATACAAATCAAAAAGGTATGTCCATTTGTATCAAAGTCCCTTGAGAGAGGAAAGTGGATAATTGAACAGTATACATTATTTATACCCCCACCTAGACATTAAATACTTTGTGGGTCTGTAAAAACTTAGTGATAATACATACATATATAATATGGTGTAATTTTAGCTAAATATCTATTTTAAACAAATCGATGCAATGATGAATTTGCACATTCACAATAATCACTATATTAATGTTGTGTAGAAACTTTAATGAGATAAATCATATTTTTGAGCAATAACTTTAGTGCAAAAAGTGCTAAAACATTATTACCGCTAGAGTATAACTTAAGTGAAAAGTGCTAAAGTGCAATGAAAATTTAGCTTTAGTGCCAAAAGTACTAAAGTAAGATTACCTCTAAATTAAGTAGGCTAGCAGTATCTCATGAATCCCATGTATGGTTCATATTCTTATCATAGCATCCTACCTCCAAGGTTTACACCTGATAAGGTTTAGTTGTTGATCAAGGGTAAAGGTCCAAGGTCACCCTTGATCATTTTGGAATAGATAATTCATGAAGCCTTTAACAGATTTAGTTCAAATTCACGACATAGTATCATACTATCAATATCTACACCTGATCAGATTTGGTCATTGGTCAATATTAAGGGTCAGAGGTCACCCTTGAACATTTTGAAAATAAAAAGTTTTTACACAAATATTTGGGACGGTGGGCTATGTCTTATTGAGCCCCTGCTTACTTTGTTTTGATTAACTGATTACGATCAATTTTTTCAAGAGATTTTCTGTTTCATTAGTTTGAGGTAGTCTTAAATTACTAAAACAAAATAACAGTAGTAAAAGTAATGATAAAACCTTCATTTTCATTATTTGGGATTGAAATGTTTACATTGTAGAATTGTTTGAAATCCAGTGACTCACACAATATTTAGGATGGTTCTGATCAATTTTCAGGCAAAACAAACAAATAAATGTTTATGTGATTATTTCTACTGTTACATTCATCAATATAGTTAAATCCTAAACACTGCATGAAAAGTCATTTTACTTTTCAAACAATATCACAATGAACGGTTGGAAAAATTAAATTATTAGAAATATTGCTACAATATTACAAGTCAGTGTTTACCTATATTCATCACAATATCTGTTTGATATATGTCAGATTTCATTCTTTTAAATCTTCACAATTGTCTTGCATGTAGCTAACTCCACATTAAAAAAGTTTGCATTTAAGACACACATACTTTTCCAATAGTCATGCTTTATTTGATTCTTATTCTCTGTCTCCTAGCTTGACCACGGCCGTGATGCCTTTCTGGCCCTGGTCAGTGATGGGGTCAGTTTTGTCTTGAGTGACCAAGAGGTTGTGGACATTACTTGTAGCTGTAGTGACCCTAAGGAAGCAGCCAGCCGTATAACTGATCAAGCACTGCAATTTGGATCGGAGGACAACACAACCTGTGTGATCATCCCCCTTGGTGCTTGGGGTAAATACAGCACAGATACTGGGACGATACAATACAGTTTTGGTAGAACATTTGTACCTATTCGTGATTCCTGATATGAAGAGTTATTTCCCTTTTAAAAGAGTTTATCAAAAAGGGAATCAGATATTCTCTGTTGGTGCTCACAAGACTTTAAGTATTGGTAGAGAAGATAGATGCTGTACAACTTAAAGAAATGGTTTCCATTTTTAAAACAAATACCATTTTAAGTGTTAATTTCAGTCAGTTGAAAATGTATAATTATCTCCCTTTGAAATAAAAACCTTCCATTAATTAATGTTTGGGACAGAAAAGCATTCTGACCTGACCATAGAGTAAAGCCTGTGATAGTTTTGAGTGAATAAAGATTTGACTGTTGTCTGTGGTCCGTCAACTTTTTCTATAAATCACTACTAGTCATAAATGACTGAGCCAGTTTTTACCAAATTTGGTCAGAAGCATCCATAGGGAAAGAAAAATAATAATGATAATAAATAATAATAAATTCTTTTATTTAAACAGGGTAGCATGTTTAGACTTACGTCTAGTTTACAATATGACCCTGTAAAACACATATTTACATCAGCACATTACAGACGAATACAAAACATTAACATGTTGACATGACAATACATGATATACATAATGTTTTAGATAAATACCTCAGTAAGTATGGATAAGAACAGTTCATCATTTGGTTACATAAAACAAAAAACTAAATATCAAATTAAATATCAAAGTTTTTCTGTGCATAATAGATATGATCTATGAAATAATTAAATACACATTACAAAATTGATACAGTACCATCACAGATGAGCGTAGAATTGAGGAATACATTTCATAAAGTTGGATTAAAATAGTTTTTCAGGTACAGTTTTGTAAAAGACAAAACATTTGTTGTATTCCTGATCTCGTCACTAAGATTATTCCATAGGGACGTGCATGAATATTTAAAAGAGCTTTTGTAAAAAGTAGTTCTACACTTAGGAATATATAATTTGTTTGAATGGGTTGTCCTGCTTGAAATTTGGCTAACATAGGTAAATAAATTTTGCTTCAAATATCCAGGAGCCTCATCTCTGAGGTTCTTATAGGTAAGAACACATTTTCTAAAAATATAAAAATCAAATATAGGCATCCAGTTCAAATTCTTTAAAAACAGCAAGGTTGGAGTAATGATTTCTTTTATGTTTAAAATAATTCTTGCTGCTCTTATTTGGAGCTTTATAGCTTCTCTGTAAGTGATGTATTTGAAGGGGTACTCCAAACAGAAGAATAATACATAAAGTGTGGTAGGACAATAGTTGTATACACTTTTTTGGACATTTCAATTGACAAATTTTCTAACACGTTTTAGAACACCAATCTTTTTTGACAGTTTCTTACATGAATAATCAATATGGTCATTCCATGATAAACAATTTTCAATATAAACTCTAAGCAGTTTAGCACATCAGACAGTTCCAATGACAACATTGTCTACTTTAATACATAAAGGTCGAAGTTTTGACCGCCTCTGTAGGGAACCAATAAGCATACATTTAAGTTTTTATTAAGTTTAAACTCATCTTATTTTCTGCCATCCATTTACGTGATAATTCCAGATCCTCACTTGGTTTACATTCAACTTCATCAATAGATGAACATTTCACACTTTGTGACGTGTCACCAGCATACATTGTAACTGATGAGTGCCGTAAACTTTTAGGATAATCATTCATATGAATTATGAAAAATAATGGTCCTATAATTGAACCGCCGATTGTTATATCTTTGCATGAGGATGGAACACCTTCTATCAGACAAATATGATTTAAAAAACATCATTGCAGGTTCTGAGACACCATAAGCTCTTAATTTGAGTAACAACACTTCATGACTTACTGTGTCAAAGGCTTTACGTAAGTCTAAAAACAAAACACCTGTTAATTTACCATCGTCAATGTTTTTGACCGTTCATCTACTAATCCTGTAAGGACGGTTTCAGTGGAATTGTTTGGTCTAAAGCCATACTGAGATTGAGTAAGTAAATCATGAGACGACAAATAATTATAGAATGAGTTGTGAACATGTCTTTCTAAAATTTTACTAACAACAGAGAGAACAGATACAGGCCTATAGTTATTTACACAGGTCCTATCACCAGATTTGAATATTGGTGTCACCTTTGCCTTTTTCCACTCTGTAGGAAATGATCCTGAGTTTATTGCTTTATAAAAAATATATGTTAGAGGTTCGACAATTGTTTCACTTGCTAATTTAAGCAATCTCACGGACATTCGGTCAATACCAGTAGCTTTGCCCTCACGTAACTCTTTGATCTGTTTTCTTACAAAGTCTTGTGTTATTAAGGGGATAAAAAAAACTTATTTTCATTAGAACTAGAGTTATCTAAATTTGGTAAATTTGAGTCAAAGTTTTTCCTAATTTCAATGCCAATATTACAAAAATAATCATTGAAAGCATTTGATATATCTACTTCCTCTGTTATGCTCTCACCATCTATATTAAGACTTGAAGCACAATTCACTTTGGAAGATGGCAAAAAGTCTTTGATTTTTTTCCACATATCTTTAGAATTGTTCGGATATTAAAGCAAAGCTTCATCTAAGTAATCACGTTTTGCCTCTTTAATTTTTGTTAAAGCTCTCTTTCTAGAAGCTTTATATAAATTCCAGTCAGAACTAGATTGAGATGATCTTGCTTTGTTATGTTGATAATCACGTGTGTGCATTTCACTGAGTAAATCATCATTTATCCATAATTCAGTTTTAGCACTGACACAAATATTGTTTTAATGATGGTTCTTGGCCTCCAAGGGCTTGAGGGTCAAGGTCCAATGGGAGGAATTTTTACAAGTTCTTCGAAATCCCACTCCTCCTTTCAAAACAAATGGATATTGTCCAAATTTGATCTGAAGCATCCTTAGGGAAAGGGGAATTAGTTTTGTGGTAACTTCAGGTTTCAGCTCCCTTGACCAGGAGGGCTAGTTCCCAATATGAGAAACGGAGCAAATTCTTTGAAATTCTACCCTTTCTGTAGGAATTTTGCCCAAGTTCGGTCTGAAGCATTCTTTGATGATGGAAAGCAGTTTTGTACCAATGATCGGTTTTGACCCCCTAGGGTGGAAAAGAATGTGCCTAATAGGGGAAATAGAGCAAAGTCTTTAAAATCCTATACCTTCTGTAAGAATTATTGGATTGTAAAAATTATTGGATTTACCCATATGTGGTGTGAAGCTAGCTGGGTTGAAGAGGAATCAATTTTTGTACAAACCGTAGATCTAGGCCACTTTGAGCAGAAAGGATAATAGAATAAACCAAACATTTATTTAAAAAATCTTCCTGTAAGAATACCTGAATGCTTTCCCAATTTGGTATAAAGTATCCTGGGATGAAAAGGATTCAATTTTGTATAATCCCTGGATCTCAGCTCCCTTAGAGGAAAAAGGGAAAATCTAACATAGTATTTAGTACATAATATTTTTCAATTATCTTGTCTAATCTACTGCTCTATAGTAAACAACATATTGGTCAGATTAAATTGTCTTATCTGATACCCTGTAGGATGCAAATTATTAGTCAGGTTAACCTTTCTGGTCTGACACTAACATTGAATGTCAATAAATGGACAACATGAAAAACATCAGTTATTATAAGATTCGCTCTATTGTATTGAATTAAGAAATTGGATGATGTGATGAAACCATTTTTTTTAACATTCAAATTATCGGTGTTAGTTCACATTAATCTTCTCGTCAGTAAAAATCAGATTAAATTGAAGTATGCAATTTCTATTTTGGCATTGAGGTTAAATCCCGAAAGTCAGGTGATATTTCTGAAGAAAAAAACCGCCCAACCTTGGTACAAGTTATGGATTAGAAGTCTGAAGAGATAAAAACTTGAAAAAAAATGTTCCAGTATTTTTTATAGCAAATGAAAAAAGCCCAGGTGTTGTTTAAATAGTTACAGATGTTTGGTGGATTTGACGCCTGTGTAGATATTACGTAAGTTGCTGATGTATAAAGTAGATAAGTGAGGTGTACAAAAAATGTATTGGGGTGGAGCGGAGAGAAAGGGAAAGACAATTCTAGTGCACAGGCCACACAGGATCTGTTTATCTTGGTAATTTAAAACCATTTTCCATAAAAGAATTTTCTGTTGAACTCATCTTGTATACAACAACTATTTCAGAACTGAGGATTGAAATGTAAAATGCAAAGATTGGACATTGAGAATGTATTTCACATGCATAAATAATTCTGATAAGTAAGGGTTAGCTCCCTTGCTGTGCTCAGCTCGGCTTGGAAATACAGTCCGGTTCGTTGCAAAGATGTCTGATCAAAAGTAATCGCACTTACCGGCTCAATATATTTTATTTAAGAAACCTGATCAAAATGTATCACGCTAACGGGCTAAATATATTCTATATTCGAAATAAAACAGCGAGTGTCATGACTCTAATCATCAAAATTTTAGAAACAATTATAATAAAAAAAAAAAATCCGTTTTGAAAGCGAGCCTTCCGGAATATAAGAAGTTTCGGATTACTGAAAGTTCCTGGTTTGGGCAGGGACGTATACGTATACGTCCCTGGTTTGGGTAAGAAATTAAAAATCCAGTAATCGTTGGTTAAACAATCCGGTAAGTGGTTTTTGGACTTACAGGTAACCAGAAGAAACATTCTCACAGTCGATATCAAGACGTGACTTGGACCCAAACCAACCTGGCTGGGAGTTTGTCTCTGATTTTAGACTCGTGTGTACGCAGACCGATTACAATGAATTATATATCGTAATGATAACATGTAACTGATAAGGAATTAGTAAAAAAAAAAAAGTGGGGGGTGGGGGATTTTCAACGAAAAGATATTGAAAGCATCGTAGTAACAACAATGATAACCATTACTTTAAGGGTTCTTTCTTCTAATCGAATTCTAATCGAATTTCATAACTTAGCAATTGCTGAAAAAGACGCCTGATGAAGAGAAGGTGCAATGTGAGCTGGATTAGTTTCCCGCCTTCGTTTGATTTGATTTGAAACTTCTTAACACTTTTTTTTATTGATTTCTTTTCCTAAGGAAATAGGAGTACTGTACGAAAAGGCGTCAGATGAATTTGGAACGTTCATAGACAACAGAAAATTAACTCCGTGGAAATTATCAGTAAAAGGTGGGATTTTTTTAAAGCAGATATTTATAAAGCCAGTCCGAAGTTTTACTGTGTACAGCATGAATAGTGTGGCTGATTTCGAGAACATTTCATTCACAACGATGCACACAATATCAATAGCTTGTACATAGCATCAACTACATTTACATAGCTGCAATGAAATGTACATAACAGCTATGATATGTAAGGTACATGTACATTTATA